TGCAGCACGAGCCCCCGCGGCCCGAGCCGCCGCCGCCGCTGCCCTTGCCGCCGCCCCCGCCGCGGGAGTCGGCTTCCCGGGCCGAGCGGCCGCCGCGGGAGACAGTGCGCCTGGAGCTGGTGCTCAAGGACCCCACCGACGAGAGCTGCGTGGAGTTCAGTTACCCGGAGCTGCTGCTGTGCGGGGAACAACGGGTACAGAAGATTCCTCCCCCCTGCCCCGGACCTTGGGGCCTCAGGACCCGTCGCCTTCCCCAGCTGGTTTGCACCTTGGGCCGCCTGCCGAGCGCGTCCCGGTCGCCCCGAGGGAGGGCTGGAGGGGCAGGACCGAGCGAGTACACGGGGCAGTGGGCTCTGCTTTGCTCCGCTCCGGGGGTTGCTGGGGCTCTCGCCCGGCTGCGCCGCCGTGAGCCCCGCATTCGCTCCCACTCCGCGTCGAGCCTGTTTTCCTGTGCGCCTTTCAAAGCCTCACGTTTTCCTGCTTTCCTTTCTACTTCCCACACAAAATCTTGGGGCCCTGCAAGCCGTGTGGCCGGGTTCTCCTGTGGCGCTCCAGCTGTCGTTCCGGTAGAAAGGAAGAGAAAACCTTGGGGGACACGCCCCCAATCTGAAGCAGAGAGAGTGTAGCCCCGCTGGTTTCGTCCGCACCCTCATCACTGTTGTGCGGGGCGCTGTGGCTGCGGAGGTGTGCTTGCGTGCGTGTGGTGTTTCTTAATCGAAGGGAATTTAAGAGACTAAGGATTCCTCTTTAGGAATGAAGAAGTGGGTTATCTGGTTACTTATTTTTCTCTTTTGTTGGTATTGGTAAACCTCTTTAGCTTTGCTTTTTGTGGAGTTTGTTTATATTGTAATTGAATGGGGAAATGTCTCCTGTTTTATATGGTGCCTGCCCATAATGTTCTTGAGTGCATATCATTCGTTTATAGGAGAGTATTGTACTTGACCATTTAACTTTTGGAGAATGAAGACAAAAATCTTCGCCTTGACTTTTTAAAAACTTTATTGAACATATATAAGTATGCTTTTGATGTAACTGGTGGACAATGGAGATAAAACAGAGTTTGCTGGTAATTGTAATTTTTATTGTTGTGGGTTGCTGGGTCTTCAGCAATTAGAAAGGGAAATGATAGATTAACAGTAAAGAAAGAGAACAATTTCTTCTGTTGCTTAGCAATTATGCCCTTTATTAGGTTTTGCTTTAGCGTAGGTCTAATGGACTCCCTGAGTCACTTGTTTTGTTTTCATCCTCAACTAACTACCTTTACGGTTGAAATGACTGACAGCTTAGTCCAAAAGTATCATGTTAAACACTAAAACTACATTTTGTTTGTGGCTAGCTAATCTTTTGATCGTTATTTACAAATGTTGTGTGACCAAATCGTTACTAAATGCTTTCAACCAAAATGAATTGTGAAGGGTAGATAGAGATCATTTTGGTCACTTCCACGTGACATTTTGCCCTTGAGATTCACTTTAGTGCCTCTCTTCTTTATACATGTGGTGTCATTTTCTTCCCGAAAGAAGATGAAACATAGTGGATGGAGCATTTTTCAAATAAATTGTTTTGGACCCGTTAAAGTGAAAAGCATTATCTTTGAGTAAAAAATACTTAACAATAACTAAATCTACTGAGTTCTTATTGTGTGCTTGAGACAGTTCTAAGCACTGCATGGTTTGTCTAGTTCAGTCAAGCAGAACTCAGTGAAGTAAGAACTATTATCCTCATTTTACAAATGTGCATAATTTTATTAGAACTTCTTTCCATGGTAGTACAAATTCTTAGTAAAGGAAAATTTCTTGCAATTAACCGTATAGTTTAAATTTATAGAATCCTGTCAAAATGAAACAAAATTAGAGCCATAGTAGAAATACAGAGACCCCTATTATGACTCTTTTCATGCTGTAATGTTCATGTTATGGTGAACTAATAATATGTACTATCATTTAGTTATAAAAAAGAAAAAATTCATTAAAAAGTTCATTTTTGACCCCCTAGCTTTGTTAACTGGTTAATACCAGAACTGCTTTGATGTACGAGAGAAAGAATAATTGTATTTAATTTTTGTGTTTTCTCTAAATTATTAATTTAGAGGTTTATTAGTCTGATTTTCTCATCGTATTTTCAGCCATATATCTTTTGTCATAGTCCACTGAACAAAAAAATTCATTGTTTATAGTCACCTTTGCAACAAAGATTTGCCACATTTTCCTGTAATTACTCCCAGTGAATACGTTTATTACATAAGTAAGTTTAGAAAACATCTTGTAAAGTTGTCATGGTTCCATGAAAAGAAATCCTAGAGAAGAAACCATCAAAAAGCAAACTGAACATTAGAATGGGTTTGGAAAGTGGTAGTTTCCAAATTTGGGTTTTCCTTCCCTTTCCTTCAGGGATGGTCTATTTATTTTTAGAGATGTTGCAATATTTTAAAAATAGTTTTAATTTTGAGTTATTGTAATTGAACAATGCACCTTGTGGCAGACTGGAAGTAGAGTGGGAAGGAAAAGGAGATCTTGTGAAGTTAGGAGAAAAAGAGCTCTAAATTTTTTAAATAGCCATCTATCACTAAGATTTTAGCTCCAGATCCTGAAGTCAATGATGTGGGACTGTAAAAAACAAAAACAAAAAAGTGTGTTATGTACGGGCATTGTATTAGGATGCATTTAAATCAGTCAGTCCCTTTCACTGTTCTTAAATGAACAGTGAAATCGTGATTAGTTGGAGTGCAATCAATTTCTTCTATGTTCCATTTTTATTAATGAGGAAAAGAAAAATTAAATAGACTTATGTTGGAAAGATATGAGGAAAAAGCCACAAGTTAGCTAACCCTTAACCTTGTTGTCTCTGTACAGTGCTGTGCTGTGATTGGAGTGGTTTAGGGTGATGACAGGCATTGGAATCATCTCCGTCCTGAAAGATTACTTGGGTCACCATTTCTGGCAAAAGGGTAATAGTGCATCTTAGAAATAAGTTTTGGCAGTGAGTGATACACAAGAAAATGATTTTTTTTGACTCTTACTAAACCAGAAAATCAGTTAACCAATATCCGTATGTGAACATTTACTGCAAAAAGAAAAATAAGTGACTAATAAGTGCTAATATAACTATACTGCTGGAGAATTCTGTGTTATATCACTGTTTTTCATATTGCATATTTTGGGTAAGATTTGTGGAAGATCTACTGAAAATGGTGTTGATGAGTTAAGATTAAAGGACAAAGTTATTATATCAGTTTTGCATGGGGATAGTTGGTAATTTTCATATTTTTTTCACCTGAAGAAAACAAAGAAGCTTACTTAGTCTTGATTAGGAGAGGGTTTTTTTTCTTAACTGTAAAATAAAAGTGAATCTATTTTCTTAAATTTATTTTATAGACTATCAAGAGAATAAAGATATAGTTTTGATGCATATATAAAGTACATAAAACATTTCAGAATGGCATATAAGATGATCCTATTAATAATGTGGATCTGTGTGTTTATATTTACATGTATAAAATGGGTCAGAACAGTAGTAAAACCTAGTATTTGGACTTCACCGTGCAGGAGGGACCACTTTATAGTAATAAGGCATTGCAGTTGCTCGCTTGTCCTTATCCTCAGCCTCAGGTTAAGGCTATACCCTAAACATGTCTAGTATTCCTTATTTCTTTGTCAGTTTATTCTCAATAATTTGTTTCCTTTCAGATCCTGTTTACATTTTTCATTGGGGTGAAGTGTTCTATAAATTGATTACTTATTACAATAATTTAAAAATTATAAAATCATCTCCTTTAAGCATTAATGAATATGCCTTTATTCTAATACCCCGGGCATGATGAGTTGTTTGTATTCCTTCTCTTCATATTTTTTAGATTGATCTATTCAGACTTTATATTCAGGATAAGGCGTCACAATTTCAAGGGGTGCAAATCTTCCTTCCTTCTGCATTTTTTTCATGATTTTTTAGATTGATCTATTCAACCTTTATATTCAGGATAAGGCATCACAATTTCAAAGTGTGCAAATCTTCCTTCCTTCTGCATTTTTTTCTTGCCCTTCAGCATCAGCTGAATCTGTACTCAGTATTAAGCTGTAATATACTTATATTTTATTTATCTATTTTTTTGAGTCAAGGTCTCAGGCTGGGGTGTAGTATGATCACAGCTCACCATAGCCGTGACCTCCTGGGCTCAGGTGATCCTCCCACCTCAGCCTCTTGAGTAGCTGGGACCATAGGCGCACACCACCTTGCCAGACTTATTTTTCTGTGTTTGCATTTTTGTTTTTGTTTTTGAGTTGAAGTCTTACTCTGTCACCCAGGCTGGAGTGTAATGGCATGCTCATGGCCACCACAGCCTCAACATACTGGGCTCAGGCAATTCTGCTTCAGCCTTCCAAGTAGCTATAACTACAAGTGTGTGCCCCCATGCTCAGCTAATTTTTTTTTATTTATTGTAGAGACGCGGTCTCACCATGTTCCCCAGACTGGTCTTGAACCTGTGGACTCAGGCAGTCCTCTCACCTCCACCTCCCAAAATGCTGGGATTACAGGCGTGAGCCACTGTACCCGGCTGTTTTTTAATTTTTGAGATGAGATCTCTCCATGCTGCCTAGACTGATCTCAAACTCCTGGGCTCAAGCAGTCCTCTTGCCTCAGCCTCCCAAAGTGCTGGGATTACAGGCATGAGCCACCAGGCTCAGCCTTGCTTTTCTTTTTAATTACCTGAAGATGCTACTTCGGTAAAACCATCTAGTCTTCCTTTTTTTTTTTCAACTTTCTAGTCAATTGTCTGAAATAGGATAAAAATAGAATTTTTATCCTTGTTTTTTTTAAACACATATATATGCTAAAATAGAAGACTTAAGGATGTGATTTGTCTTTTTGTTTGTTTTGATAAATAGTCAATGTGGGCTCCAAGCTCTCGCTCTCTCTCTTTGTGTGTGTGTGTGTGTGTGTGTGTGTGTGTGTGTGTGTGTGTAAGTAACCGTGTATTAAAACTTTCATGTGTGTGTGTGTTAAACCATGTATCATAAACTTTTACTCTCCTGTGTTAGAAGGAAGTCATAATGTAATCTTTTTGCAGCTATTTTGCTTTCCTATCTTCCTTTAAAAGTAGTATGTATTACCGGAATGGATATCCATTGACAGGCTATTGGTGATGTCAAGGTTGTTGATACTGGTTCTCAGCAGAAAGCTGTAGCAGCTACAGACACCCAAGTGATACCTCACAGGCAGATGATTAAATGTGGACTCTAATTTATAATCTAGAGATCCTTTTAGACACATTTCTTGACCAAAGCAGCTAATCTTTTTTAATGATGATATCAAATTAAAGTTATAAGTGAGATTTTCATTTGTACCTCATGTTCGTGGGGTTTTCCCCCTTGTTATTTTGAATGAAATGATCATATGTCATTTTACAGGTGAAGACAATTTGAATTGTTGAGTTTTTAGGCACCAAAAAACTGTAGAATGTATATGAGTCCTTTAAAACTGCAAGTCCTAGCTGGTGCGGTATCTCATGCCTGTAATCCCAGCACTTTGGGAGGCGGAGGCAAAAGAATTGCCTGAGCCCAGGAGTTTGAGACCAGCTTGGGCAACTTGGTGAGACCTTGTCTCTACAATAAATCAAAATATTAGCCGGGCGTGGTGGTATGCACCTGTAGCTAGCTACTTGGGAGACTGAAGTGGAAATATCGCCTGAGATCAGCAGGTTGAGGCTGCAGTGGCCATGAGTGTGTCACTGCTCTCCAGCCTGGGTGACAGAGTGAGACTGCAATTCAAAACAGAACAAAAAACTGTAGGTCTTTTTTGCTGTGAACCAGCATTTCTTTTTAGTTACTTTTAAGGTTTCTGACTTCTCTGTTAATTTTAGGACGAATTGTCTTGTTGAATTTTAAGGATATAGAAAGCACTGAATAATAATGTAATTAACAGTAACATATTAAGGAATATAGTTATATATTCTGTTGTATGGAAATTTAACTGTAGTAATACTAATTCATACTTCTCTTTCTTTTCCCACTCACTTTGAATCAGAAGAAGCTCATTCATACAGAAGACCCATTTAATGATGAGCGTCAGGAGAGGCAGGAAGTGGAAATGTTGGCTAAGAAGTTTGAAATGAAATATGTGAGTATAATAAACTCTTCACTTAGGTAATTTTATCCTGTTGGCCTGTTTTCTCTCTATGACTGGTTGGAAGGGCTTATAAATATCTATTGCCTGCCTGATCTTGTTTTCACAAATTGAAATATAAGTGAATGGTTAGACAGTTAAATAAAGATTCCTATAGGTTTGTGGTGGCCTTAATTGCAGCTAATGTTTATTACAGTCCTTCTAGAATCCATGTTGACTTAACATATATTATCTCCAAACCTCATAAAAATAAAACTATAAGCTAAGTGATATTGACCATATTTTACAGGTAAAGAAACTGGGACTCTGAGCTCAAGATTAAGTAACTAATCTAAAGTCACACAGTGACAAGAATAGGCTGCATATTTGGGTCTATCTCTAACCCTGTGCCCTTCCACAGACATTGAGAATGCTCTTTTAATTCACTTGATGTGGTAGTTTTCAAACCCTCCTGCCTTTTAAGAATTTAAGAGAATGAATGTGTGTTTGTATTTCTAAGCTCCTTCAGTCAGGCTCAATTAGAAGCAGCATGAAAATTCTTTGAAAATTTCTAGTTTACCTTAAATATTCCTGTACATTCTATATTATTTGCCACAACATACTGGTGTTTATTTTAATATAACAAATAATTTTTGATTATCTTCTTGTTAAGTTGCTTAACATTTTTCTCAAATCTTCTAGTATAATTGACTTTGTAGGAAGTCCCACTCCATGGCTTTAAAAATCTGAAAAATCATGATTTTTAAATCATGGCTTTACATATTCTTGGCATTTTGCTAAAACATAGCCCATTTGAGAAGCAACACCTTACCCCTCTGATTCCTCTGTGTACATTGAAAAGTATCTCACAGAGGTTGGATATCAGCTCACACTAGCCCTGTCATCCATATTATCCTCAAGAGGCAACTAGGATCTTGGCCAACATTTGTTGGCTCCTTGTGGTAATTAAGAAACCAGCCAGGCATGGTGGCTCATGTCTGTAATCCCAGCTTTTGGAAGACTGAGACAGGAGAATCACCTGAGCCCAGGAGTTTGAGACCAACCTGGGCAACATAGTGAGACCCCTTCTTTACAAAAATGTTTTTAAAAATTAGCCAGACATGTGGCATGCACCTGTAGTCCCAGCTCTTGAGCCCAGGAGATTGAGGCTGTAGTGAACTGTGATTGTGCCACTGCATTCCAGCCTGGGCGACAAAGTGAGACCCCAACTTAAAAAAATAAACAAACAAATGAAAAGTAAAAGAAACTGTTAGAAGGTGGGAGAAATGTAAGAGAATAAATTGGAATTGGAACTAGGTTTAAGGTCATGCTTTGCCACTTGCAAACTGTGTCCTTTGGTGACATTATTTAGCTTTTTTGTGCCATGGTTTGTTTTTTTTTAATGAAAGCAGGACTTATTTTATTTTATTTTATTGAGTTGGAGTCTCATTCTGTCACCCAGGCTGGAGGGCAGTGGCATGCTCCTGGCCACGGCAGTCTCTACCTGCTGGGCTTAGGCTGTCCTTCCACCTCAACCTTCCAAGCAGCTGGAACTACAGACACATGCCACCATGCCTGGCTAATTTTTAAAAATGTATTTATTATAGAGATGAATTCTCACCAAATTGCCCAGGCTGGTCTCGAACCTGCCTGGCAATCCTCTCACCTCAGCCTCCCAAAGGGCTGGGATTATAGGCATGAACCACCGCACCTGAGAGAAAGCAGGATTTATTAAGAGGTCAGAAAAGCTCCCACAATGGGAGGGAACTCAAGGGGGTTGCCCCTTTGTGCCATGTTTTTTTTTTAATTTGTAAATTGAGAAATTCAGATTTTTAAAAGACCTTTCTGAATCTATATTCTATGTATGATCATAAATTTAGGGATGGACTAGTGGGTATTTCAAGAGAAGGAATAGCAAAAGTTCTTACACTAGTTTGTAATGTTTAATTACAATGTAATCTTTTGAGATTATACTGTATCATGATGTATAAATCCTAATCCTAATATGTGTTTTATATACAAGTTATACATTGGTTACATTTAATGTTTTAGCCAAGCGGTAAATTTACTTGGTTCGAGACCCGCCTGGGCAGCGAGACCTCATCTCTACAATAAATCAAAAATCAGCCGGGTGTGGTAGCACGCGCCAGTAATTCCGGCTACTCGGAAGGCTGAGGCGGAAGGATCGCCGGAGCCCAGCAGGTTGAGGCTGCGGTGGCCGGGAGCGGCCACTGCACTCCAGTCTGGGCGACAGAGTGAGACTCCAACTCGAAAAAAAAAAAAAAAAATTTACTTGGTTCACAATTCAAAACTGAAAAGGCTACATAGAGTGAAAAATCTTTCTTTTATTGTGTTGCTTACCCATCCAATCCTTTTCCTAGACAGCCAGCATTCATGAGGGGGTAGCTAGAGATGTTTTATGTGTATCTCTGAACGTATACATTTCTTACTCCCCAACTCCCTTTTTATGCATGTTACAGAATACTATACACACTTCTGCTCTTTGCTTTTTGCATTTACTATGTCTTGGAGTTTGGGTTTTTTTGTTTTTAATATCAGGACAAAGAGCTTTCTCTCTTTCTGGTTATTTCATTGTATGGAAATATCACAGCTTATTTAATCAGTTCCTAAATGATTTAGGTTGCTTTGAAAAATTTGCTATGATAGTGCTGTAGTAAATTACTTTGCAAAATGGCATTTTACACATTTTCAAGTTTATCTGTAGGACAAATTACAAGAATTTGGGAGCTTTAGGTCAGAGGATTTATGCATTTACATTTCTGGCCTATATTACTAAATTTCCAGTTCCCATTCCCTCCGCACTATATTAGAGTTTCTATTTTGCAATGGGTTGCAAAACCAAGGATTAGAATTGCTCTTTGCAGTTGAAAAAATTCCTAGCATATGATCTTATAAGTAATGTGACTTATGCATTTTAAGAAAATCAGGCCAAAAGCTACCTGGGAGAAGATACCTTGTCCACCTAGACTCAAGGCCTAGAGCTCTAGGCTATCACAAAAAAATCTTTCTTAAAGATTTTTATTGGCGTTCAGGGGCAGCAAATTTAGATGTTTTAGTAGTTGAAAATCAGTGATATCAGAAGTTATAGGGAGTCTAAAATTATAAAAGGAACACCTGCATTGAATTTATGGTGCTCCCTTCTCCTATTCTGTCCTGTTTTTTTGGTCTGTATCCAGTTATGCTGCTCTTATGTCAGGTAATGTGACAGTTCATATTTTGCTCAATTGCTAAATGTTTTTTTGGGAAAAGGTCAGTATGACTATTAAATACTTATTTTTACCTAGAGTATACTAAATTGGTTGCTGTACATAAATCTTATAAGTAAGTCTAGGTTTTGACATTTTTACAACTCTCTGATGGTATAAAAGTAATTCTGAGTAGTCTTATAAGGCGTCAAATTAGTCTTGTTGGTTACTGTAGGAAGGAGGCACGATACAGTTAAAAGAGGCTCACAATTCCCAATTCCGAGTTAAAACTCCAAATGTTAAGACTAAACATACAGTTTCCAACTCAGTTTTTAGATGGTTTCTAGGTGGTGTATACTTTTTCTGAGGCCATCCATACTTTAGGGTAGGGAATGATGTTCACTTTGATGAATACAGACTTGCTCTTTTAGTCTTCTAGGACAGAGGACAACCTGCAGTTTGAAGATTTCTCATAGTGATTTTTCTCACTTCATTACCCCCTCCATCTTGAAAGATCATGCTGTCCTAGAACTGGCTACAAAATCAGTAATCTAAATGTCAGTGCCTAGTATAATACTTAGGGCCTGTCAGAGGCTCAGTTAAGACTATGTAAATCTGACTGACTTTCTAAATAGGAAGACATTTATTCTGCCAGGTGTTTTGTTAACATTCATGAATCACATTATAACTATAAAATCTGCTTACTGTGTCATATAGACTTTGAATACCACCTTTCATGCTTAGGTCTCTGTGATTTTGGACTCTCAGAGCCTGGTAACCTCATATTTATTTGAAAAGGGAGGATAAGAGTAAATTTGATGGTATAAAAGTAATTCTGAGTAGTCTTATAAATAAAACAGTTGATCAAATGGAATGACACTATTTTAACTCAAAGACAAATTATATTTCTAAAAAAGTCTTTTTTTTTTTTTTTTTTTTGGAAACAGGTCTTATTTCCTTGGCTGGAGTACAGTGGCACAAGTATAGCTCATGGCAATCTCAAACTCCTGGGCTCAAGTGACCCTCCTGCCTCAGGTCCTGTAGTCGGTAGGAGTATAGGCATGCACCACCACACTTGACTAAATTAAAAAAAAATTTTTTTGTAGAGACAGGATCTAGCTATGTTGCTCAAGCTGGTCTCAAACTCCTGGCCTCAAGCGATCTTCTGACCCAAAGCCCTGGGTTTATGGGTGTGCCACTGTGCCTGGCCATAGTTCCAAAAAGTTTTTATTTTCTTTTGGTATCACTTATAAACATGTTTTTTCCAGATACAATTTGAAGAATGGCAGTATCTTATTTGTTTAATTTCTGATTAGTGACTTCTTTATTTCTACTCGTTGAGTGAAAAGAAATATAATTTTGTCAAACATATGGATTATTTTTAAGAAGTGTCCTTGAATATGAGACTGATAGAAATTGATGTTTTGAAGACATTTATGTACTCTTTCTGGGAGTTTTAAGAATTGTGTCAGTTACTCATATTATTAATTGATCATCTTGCTAATGGTTAAAACATCCTTGGGATCTTCCTAGACTGGTTTTCCTATTTGTTTAGCCTTAGGTCTGGTCCCTAAGGATCAATTTGGTAGAGCTCTGGGTAAAGGAGTTTGTTTGGGCAAATTTATTAATATCACCAAAAAACTAAATTCAACTTGCAGAACACAAATGTCAGTGCATTTAGGGTTATGTAGACCAATAATAGTATGATATTATATATACAGTAAAAACATAAAATAACCTTTTAAAACAACCTGGAGGAGAGGTTGAGGATCTTAAATAAAAGGCAAGGAAGAATATCTAGCTCAAGTA